AGCTCCGCCGTGTTCTCGGTAGATATAAATTATTAAGCTTCCCTACACTTCAGTGTAAACTTTTTCTGAAAGCCTACTTTCACAGGATTTGAAATTAACCTCGATGCCTTGTCTCAGATGCACACAGACAGGTTTTAGGTTGGTTTATTGCTTTTTTGTTGGTTTGGGTTTTTTTTTCCTCAGTTCAGTAGTCCACTCTGTATCATTAGCACCACCGTCTTCACCATCGCCAACTACCACCTTTGTTTCTAAGGCTATTTCATTGCAATGAATCACTTCGCAAAATGAAACCTATAATTAGCTTTCCAATAGAAAAATAAATCATGTATATGCTCTTTGCCCAGTTTAAGGCTGGCTGATCTGGGTTTCTCTTTATTTATTTATTCAACAGCAATGGTTGGGCATGCATTGTTTACCATCAGTACCATGTCCTCTGCGCAGCGGGTGGCTATCCATTATGTGCCATCTGACAACTTCATATTTTGGAATAAGTATGCCATTTAATTTCCTCCACTCCCATCTTCAGCTGTAAAAATATTAGTTTCAATAAGCATTACTGACCCTTCTCGAGTTTTACTGTCTCTTGCAGCAGTCTTTCATTTTCACATGCTGTACGATGATCTTGAAGGAGTTTTTACTTTCGGTTATCTAGCTTTATGAAGACCAAAACACTCATACAGCTAGATAACCAAAGATAACAACTCACTTCCCCTCAAAGCTTTTTTTTTTTTTTTTTTTTTTTTTTTTTTTTTTTTTTTTTTTTTTTTTTTTTTTTTTTTTTTTTTTTTTTTTTTTTGTCCTTGCTAGAATCCAGATTTTTTTGAGTAAAAAGGCATGTTGTTTCCTCCAAGAGGACTAGTGTTACTTTTAAATTGTTCATCCTTTTATGAAAGTGTCTCTGTCTGTATGTGCAGCTAATAACATCCAGGAGAGATCTGTTGCCTTCAAAGTTTATTCCGAACTTTTTTTTTCAGCCAGTAATTTCCAGCAGGGAGAGCCAACAATTCGTCTGTTAAAATCAGAAAATAAAACCAGCTATCAAGATGCGTCAAGCTGCGTTAAGAGAGAGGAGCATCCATCCTTTTACAGGCCTCTATTTGCATTGTAAATCGCCTCGTTCTCACGAAAGACTCTTTAACCTCTATGAAGATGTAAAGCCATCGGCAATTTCCATCGCGGTGTAAGGAGGAAGAAGAAACAAAAATTCCATTTAGAAGAAAGTGGCAAGATGGTTCGAGGATGTGTCTCTTGATCCCTTTAGATTATGCACGGCATAGTTCTCTTTGCCAAATGGTGGCAGCTTGATTGCAAATATCTGCGTGCAGTGTGTGTTTTAGAAAGGGAAGATCCTCGCTTTCTCGGGGCTCCCAGACCCGGAGAGAAGAAGACGTGGTCTTGCCGGCTGCTGCTGTCCCCAATCTGAAAGGAGGAGGAAAGGGCCATCACTGGAGGGCTTTCAGTGCCAAAATGCGGGCCAACCAGGCAAGGTCAAAGGTCCTGGACCGCGGGAGACCAAGGTAATGATGATGTCATGAGAAACCTCAAGTACGCACGGCCATTGATATGCATGAGCGACCAGCCGCTGGCGTCGGGACCGAGCCCGGTCTCGCCTCCGGCATCGCCGCCTCCGCCGTCCTGTCGCGAGGGATCCGCCCGCCGCTGTCACCTTCCTCTTCCTCGGCAGCGCAGACCGCTCCAACATCCAGAGGCCAGGAGACAGGACACTCTCCCCCGGGGCGGGAAGCAGCCTGTTCGGCCCCGGGAAGAGCCGGGGAGCACCAGGGAGCCCGCACTCCTCTTCGGGCAGCCCCCGCCGGTGCGCAGCGATGCCGCGGCGGGAGCAGGGCCTGGTACTCGGAGGCCGGGAGCAGGGCTGTGCTACGCAGTGAGTCGATGTGTAATTACATTGACAATTTACTCTGTCGTAGAGTGTCTGCAGGGCTTTTTGGTTTTGGTGGGGTTTTTTTTGTTTGTTTTTTGGTTTTTTGGTTTTTGGGGTTTTTTTGGCTTGTTTGGGTTTCTGGGGTTTTTTTTTATATTTGTTTGTTTGGGGGTTTTGTGTGGTTTTCTCCTGTTGTTTTGGTTTGGTTTTCGGTTGGTTTGGTTGGTTGGTCAGTGGGTTTTGGTTTGTTTGGTTGGTGCTTTTGTGTTTTGGGTATTTTTTGACTCCACGTCTCTGTCGTGCTTCGCGCCTATCGTGATTCGCAGATATTCATAGCAGGACGGTCCAAGGCATTTTCCCCTGCCTGCCCGTGGGGGAAGCTGAGATCATCAGGTTCAGTGTATTCAGTGTATTCCGTGGCATCTATTCCACCTCTCCACCCTTCTTCCCTCCCCGCCTCCCTCCCAGCTTCTGTGTGTCTCTGTGTCTGTGTTAGAATGCAACACAGGTGAACATTGCAGCAACATTTGTTTAAGGCCATGCATCATCTGGGTTAATAAAAACGCTGATTTATCGTTTATTTTTATTAACCTTGTACCTAGAGTGAGGAAATGCATGCTGGTGTTACTCGTGGAACCAATGAAGGCAAGTCTAAACTGTAAGAATGTGTTATGTGCAGTTTTAGGATTTAAGTCTCTCAGTTCCCCCTCACCCTCTCTCCAAAAAGAACAGTACACTTTGAATTATTTAACAATATAATTTGCATAGAACATTAAAGGCCTCCCGAGTATATATGAGTAATGAACATTCTAACTGAGATCTACCATATTTTCTGTAGAAATTAAAAGATGCACTTCAACAGCTCCAGTGTGCTGTGGTCAGTATAAGACACACATCGAAAAATTCAGTACACACACACTATGAATTGCTCAGAACTCCTAAAGGAAAACAAGTTAAAAATCATGCTGCTGCTCCTCTTCTAAGGTGCAAAATAAAACACAGCATATTATGCACTATGTTCCCTCACAATCACAGTCAATATGCTATACTGCATTTAAATGCATTTTTTTTTGTAAATTAACCTGTGTTTGCCTAGGTTGCTATTTTTTAGGAGGAATTTTTTAAATGCATGGAGTCAAACTAAAGTTGTTGTTGCTCTGTGTTGGCTGCAGAGCTTGCTTGTATGATAAAGGAAATGTGTGCTTGTGTGTGTGCAGGGGAACCATATGTACATATGTCAGTCTAGGAACATGTGTGTGTATGTGTTTGAGATAAAATATATATGCAGACATACATAGTTATGCTGTAAAATATCAACTAACCAGCCTGATTTTTTATCATAATTACAAAAGCATGAAAACAGAGAAGCAATCTCCTTTGTCAGACAGTACCCAAAATTAATACTGCCACCAAGAAGCAGCACATAGACATTGCTAATCTGCCAGTCTGCGAAGTCTCAAATACTGAAGAAATATTACTAATTTATTTCTCCTTATGGATTCTAAGCCCTTGAAATTGAGCATTTCTTTTAACACATATTGTTTATCCTCCTATAGACTGTTTTTTTACCACCGGTACTTTTTACCTGAGAGACATGAGAGCTCATTGTGCCAGTGTTCTTTGTGGAAAATTCAGAGACTCATACCAAATGGTTAGAATACTTATAATGCTGCATTATGAGTTACTGAGCTTCTTCATTACCTCTCAGGCTGTTCAGGCACAACAGGGGCAACTGAATCAGACATCTGATACATCGAGAGGCACATGATCACCTTGATATTATGTAAAATTCTAATGAGCTTTTCTGAATTGGCAGATAGGCAGAAAGTTGTGGTTTTTATGGCAATAGCTAGGGGCAGTAGTGCTGGTGATCAAGCATGTGTTGCACAGGACAGGCTTATGAGCTTATGGATTAAATTCTTTCAGTCAGAGGCATGGAAATTCAAGTGCTCCTCGTGTATGTGTGTGCGTGTATGCTTATATAGGTGTATATGTACATATACAGATGGACATATATGTACATATACAGGTGTATATGTGAATATCTTTATATAACCATATTAACACAAATGGATAAGTGCATGTTAATACAAGCATGTCACCAGATGTCATGTGTCACTGGATTTACAGTTAAATGCAAGGTATATTATTACAAATAGGTGTTTTTCGAATGTTTACCTTCAAAACATCAAGCCCTGCTCTCACAACCATCTCACTTACACTCTGACTTGGGAAGTAACTGCAATACACACTTTTTGTTGATTACTCACTGATTACATCAAAAGAACGAATGATGTAGCTGTTGTTTAGCCATATTACCAATTACATTTTCTAGCTCTCATACACTTAGTAAGGCCTTAAAATTGTCAAGTGTCCATTAAGTATTTGCTTATTCCGAATATTACAAAAATATATGCAGCAGTTGTAAAGCACATTTCCAAGATTTCAACGTTACCTAGTATGTGGAAAGTTTAAGCAATGCACAGTTCTGAAAATTCTGCCCAAAACATCACCTGCATTGTCAAAAGCAGCAGTTAACACAGCCTGCTCTCTTCCAGTTCACATAATTGAATAAAACTTATTTATTCCAAGGTCACTGTAGAAACTGTAGAAGCCTACTGGAAGACATGAAATACAAACACTGACTTTTTCCTCCTAGTTGCCTAATAAATTCCTGCTAATGACCTGCAGATTAGTATGTGATTGCCATGCTTGCTTTTTAATCTTTTTATAGGTCTCCAGATGGCTGTGACATAAAGAAGAAATATCCTGCATGGATTTCTTAAGAATAAACAGTCTCTACTGACTTTGAAGAGGAATGCTTATGATTCCTTAATTATTGCAATCAGACACCCATCTATCTCCAACATCCCCACCTTCTGTGGGTAAGACGCACAGGAGTACCCATTAAGCTGCTGTGAGGTACCTAAGAGGGTGTAGTGTTACATAAATTCCATTTTCACACTAAATTATGACAGAATTCATGTAGAGTTAAACCACCATGGCATCCCAGTGCAGCCCAGGCCATCTCTCCCTGTAGAGCAGCATCCTATTCCTCCCAGCCAGGTAAGTCACTGGATTGTCTCGCCTTCCAATAACGGTGCCTCATTTTTTCTTTTGTGATCACTATTTCATTTGACAGACAACCGCAGACTATACTTCCATTATGTTAAACCTATAGTATGCAAAGGGATATCTACTACAAATCCAAATTACTAACTAAAAAAAAAAAAGAGTATCAAGAATTCAACCTCAGGAAAAAAAATAATATCAAACCTGCACACAGTCAGTGATTACACATGGAGACACTGTGTGCTGTTAAAGAACATATATTCATATCTGTAGGTGATGCGTGTCATTGTCTGACTTTTATTAAACAAATAAACAAATTACTGTTTCTTGTCGTGATTTCACTACCTGTGGTCTATCTGTGTTGCCTAAACCTGAAAAATAGTCCACCCCTCCCCCCCCAAAAAAAAGCAAAGGATCATAAAATAAACACTTTCAGTGTTTGATTCTTGTTCCAGAAGTGCATGGGAAGGAATAAACCTATGTGTTTAGAAGACACTGAGTATATTAACTTCTGAGATTATTAGATAAATCACTGAAACGCTTGGCTCTAGACTAAATGGGGAGATAACTAGGCATATTTCCTGCAGATGATTTAATATGACAGAAAACAGGTATGAGTGATGTCCTCCTGTATCTGCAGGGTTAAATTTAGTAATCAATATTTACAGGAAATCCTATGAATATTATAATATACTTTAAAAAAATATTATTATTTCTGGAAAATTATGCTTAAAAAGAAAAGGCTAAAAATATTATTTGCTGAATATATTATATGAAAAATATTATCTGCTGAATAGAAATGACCAAAATTATAGAGGTAGATCTATGATTTGCATAATGTAAGCTGCCAGTTACTTAATAAAGGATGGAGGCTCCACCTAGTCTTCAGTTCAAAACATGCAAAACATACTAAGCCAGCATTTCCCCACTGGATTTCCCA